GTGAGGGGCTTTGTTTTGTGCCCTGTTCTCTTCTGCAGCAGTTCAAAGTTAAGGAGATGGTGTTACTGAGAGGAAGGCAGGGGCAGCCTGCAGTTATATGCACGTCCAGGAGAAGCTGGTCTGAGTTCCACAAGGGTCATTGCCTCTGTTCTTGCTAATGGTCCCGACTTGAGCGTGTCTGCCATGTGTGTTGTCTTCTTGCCTCTTCCAGCAGCACAGTGATGACACTTTTCCCCAAGTTTGGCATATGGAGTTTGTCCTCATTTTGTTCTTCCTTTGGGCCACTTTTTTGCCCAGCTGTTGCCTTTCCTTTCCTGCCATCACTTGTATTTTACAGTTTGATTTGAAGACTCGCTTTTCCTGACTGATGGTCTTGATACATTAATGAAAGATCAGAATGTATCCTAATTATGGAATTATTTAATAAGTGTCTCAATTTAGTCAGTAGTCTCCACTGCGACAGGTCTTTGCACAATTCTCTGCACGTTAACTTACCTCTTCTTGAATGCATGTGGAGAATCTTTACTGAAGTGACAGTTAACAGCTAACTTATTTTTCTCACTTTCTAGGCTGGATCAGTACATGTCCGAATTCGGAGAGATGCAAATGAACAAATGGTACTTGCCCATGTCACTAACAGATTATACACGTTGGTCTCTACCTTGACTGTTCAGATTTTCAAAGATGACTGGATCAGACCTACCTTATCATCTGTGCCTATTGCAAACAATATTTTGAACCTTTCGGATCATCACATTATTCCAATGCCATCTTTGAAAGCTGCTGATAATTTGGACCCTGTTACATCCACTCCAGCTAAGCCCAGCAGCCCACCGCCAGAATTTTCTTTTAATGCACCAGGGGAAAATGTGAGTCCAGTCATCCTTCTAAACACTCAGACAAGGCCCTATGGATTGGGCTTCAATCATGGATCCACACCCTACAGCAGCGTACTCAATCAAGGATTTGGAATACCAGGAACGGGAGCAACTCAAGGATTCAGAACTGGTTTTACAAATGTCCCAACCAGATATGGAACAAACGCTCGTGGTCATCCCCGACCATAATAAACACCATTATTTATTGTACTTAAGGGTATTGACTTAATTCTTTTATTACCCAATTTTTATAAACATTTGGAATGTCAGATCATTCTAAATGGCTGGGAACAAGTGCATTGTTCGTATTCATTAAATGGTTAAACTGCAGTTTGTTTCTTTGCATCAGCAGTAGCCTGTGTAATGCCACAAATATTTTCCAGCTTTATGATACTTTACAGGTAGTTTTTATAGAGCGTCTGTTTCTATTCAGCTTTTTATTCACTTTTCTTTATTTTCCCAAGAATGTATTGAGATATAGCACAACTCCATAAGAAAGTAAAATTCTGACCAGGTAGCATTTTTTTTTCCCTAATGAGATTTGCTTAGTGAATGCTGAATAGCTGGGAGAATAGGAAATTGCAGAAATAAAAATCCCAGGTTTTAGAGATGTTTTGATTGAGCCATCTTTTGTCAAAGTCACAATTAGTTCTTGGTTGCAAAATTCCATCAATATTCATATTGTGGCCATTGTGAAGACAATCTGGCATTTCAGATTCTAATTAATTTTGTGAGACCGTGTTTTTACATTTTTATTGATGCTTTTGTAGAAATTCAGATGGTTCAGCAACCATTTTCTAGTTGTAAGTATTCCATATTGATCTCTGATATTCCTTCCTTTTTGGTTTAACTGCAAAATTATTTAGCAATATCCTGGGAAATAAAAGATTTCAAACTGAAGATTTTACAAGCACCTCTTTTTTACAATTAACCCTACTTAAGATACAGAGCCGTTGGCTGTATTGTTTCTGAAGCCAGTATTTCATTTTTGACCATGGAAAGTATTCTCTGATTCAATTGTGACTTTGTATTTTCCCTCTTTGTATTTTTTTCTGTAGTTTCAGGGGAAAGAATATCTATTTATATGCCTGGTTTATATCCAGAGTACAGGTCAGTGATCACTGACAGTTCTTCAAGTCGTTGCTGGAGTGCTTAACCTTTGGGGCACACTTGGAACAAGACTGCCTAACGTGTCTCTGCTTTTGCATTATCGTTCTACTGTACATCTAGAAGCCCATATTTCTTCAAGGCCTTTCTCAGAGAGCTCTTCCCTCTGACTGCTGTCTTTTTCTTCACTGCTCTGATAACAGGGAAAGGCCTTTTAGAAATACTTAATTTTTTTTTCCTGTTCTTGTGTGCAGTATGTGTCTTTTAATTCCCTGGCCAATGCCTCCTCTGCATCTCTTGGCTGTTGAGGAATGGGTTGCCCATTCCTGTTGTTTCACTTGCAACTCAGGGTGCTATATATTGGCTTCCACCTTGTTAACCTGTATACTAAGTCAGTCTCTCCATTTGTCCAGGGTGGTTATATGAAGCTGTAGTATCTCAGGGACTCCAAAGATATTAATGTTACCTGAAGATAATGGGTTCAATAGAGAAATCTTTCTTTTGTAGGACTGAGTTGAGAAAAAGCAGCCTTCATTTGAATTTTCAAGATCTGTGGCCTCTTCACAGTGGCTGAGGATTTCTTTTTCTGCATAAGGACATTGCTTCTCCCCCCCCACCCCGCCTCCACTGCCTGTGTTTCTTGATCAGATGCATGGAGGAGGGAGGGTGTCACTCTTGCAAACAAAGCAAGGTGACCTTCTGCGTGATGGTATCTTGCCAGGATGTCTTAGGCTGAGGTTAGCGTCCACACTGCCACTGGTGTACAGTCCATGTAAGCTATGAGTAGGGAATCTAGTTCTGTACTTCATTTGCAGCAGGAGTAACAGTTTCATTGCTGTGTTAGAAAATGTAATGGCCTGGAAAACTTGGGTTTAAAGAGTGCAATGAACTTGTAGCGATTAGCAATGTTTCTGTGAGGTCAGTCTTAGCTCAGTAATCACCTTTGTTTCATTGCTCTGTCTTCATGTGTAGTGTATTACATGTGCCATTGCTGGATGGAAGTTGACTGAAGTACAGAACACTCGATTCTCTGTACCTCCTGGGTGCTGAACTAGACTGCCGTCTCTACAGCATCTGCAACACCTTAGAGCCAGCAGAATGTTTACAATATACTACTCTCATGTGGCCTATTTGAGAATTGTTCCTTACTCCAATTTCATAACCGAACCCTTGTCCTTTTTCTGACACTTTAAATACATTGTATTATATTGATTGCATGCCTACTTGTTTTTAGTAGAAAATTAAAGCTCCATTTTATTAAAAAATGAAGCTGATCTCTGATTTAAAATGAGAAGGGAGAATGAGAATCCCAGAATTCTGAGTGCAATATAATCACTTTAACAAAATTATTTTTGGAGTGATTGTTTACAATATATATCATATGTGCAGATGATAAAGATTCTTCTAGAGAGCAGAACAGCTTTTTAGCTGCTTTATTGTTATGAATATATTAAGAATATTTGTTAAATCAGCACAGAGTAAAATGTCTCCTTTTATATGAGGAAAATAAAATCAGTATCATCCTTAAATGACAAGGAAAAAGTGGTAATTTGTGTACAAGATTTTATAGTTATCTTTATATATATTGATTGATTGTTTAAGTGATGCTCTCGGGTGATACTTCAATCTCAATGAGCAGATGTGTGAAACTTCAGAACTGTTTTGCTGGGTCTGCTACCAGTGTAGACCGGGGTCCTTGTACTAATTCTACAGAAAGCATTTTTCCTGCATTTTGTCTTTTCTAATTGTATTTTGCTGATAGGTGGTCACAATCTAAATGTTTCTTTGAAATGTGGTGAATAAGAATTGCTAATTCATATCGTTTTCATTCCTAGTGACAGGAATGCTGCCCAGCTAGAGAACAAAAGAGAACCGGTAGTCGCTCTCCTGTCTGTCTGCCAGAGGATTTGGCATTGCTACTCCCTTAACTTGTTCCAACTGTGATTGTGTAGGATCGCCTCACTTGTAGGTAAATGCATCAAGCTTTAGGGAATTTGAGGGGTACGCACATTCCAGACTGCATTTTTGCCAAAGTGTTATACTAAATTTATTGAATAATTCCAGTAAGGAATGTAAAAGCACAGAGTTCTTAAACCGGGGAGTATCTTTTTCTGATACAGGCTATGGCTTGTCCTTACTTTTTGATGCTTAAACTGTCTTCTTGCTTCTGACTCTCAAACTTATTTTACTCCTGATAGATAGTGCTTTGCCTTTAAAATATTTTTTATATAAAACTATAGTTTCCAAAGTGGTTGCTTTTCTAGTATGACTGCTCCTGATATAATCTGTATTAAAAACAGCAGGTATTTTGTTTTTTATTTTGGGTCAAATTGTGAATGATTCTCACATGAATGAATAGCGTGTGCTGGGGCGCTGCTCCCACACACCATCTGCTCTTCTGTTTGTATCTGCTCTGTTGCAGTCAAAGCATGATGGAAACCCCCACATACCTTCCTTCCATCTCCCCACCACCCTTCTCTATCAAAAAGTTACCTAGCGACAGGGATAAAACTGTATTTGGGTTGTTTTTCTGTTTCCTGGTGGCCTGCTGTCTGTGGACAAGAGCCCTTGCAGCTCTCCTTGTAAGGGAAGGAGGAGAGGGAGCAGAGAAGATTAAAAAACCCTTCTGTGTGTCAGGAGTTCTAGCAACTCATTTCTGGATGAGGTGGTTTAGTTCAACCCAAAGCAGAAGTTTGTTCTAATGTGATTTTTGCCTCTTTCGATAGTGTGGTATGAATTCCCATTGCTGAGCACTGCAAAAGTTGGTCACACCTTGTAAAAACTGTAGTTAACACTAAAGTTGGGAGGCATTCTCTCCTGGGATCTTAATATGTCACATAGAACAGTGATAACAATCTGGAAGAATTCTGGGTTTTTTTTTTATTCAGAGGTAAGACACAGAAAGATCAAATTCTTTCTAGGCTGGAACTAATTCTTATTTAATGCTACATGGAACATGGGCCCAGGAACAGCTGAATCAATACTCAGTCTAGCAAGAGCTATCATTGTATTTTTCTTCGCTGTAGTGCTCTCCAATGCCATTAAATTGCAAATGTGAAGGTGGGCAAACAGTACTTAGAATGGAGTAGGATTTGTTGCCATTTTGTCTGTCACAGGTGTAGATATTCCAGTACAAACACTTGCAGGATTTTGCTGAGATTGTCAATAGTGGTCTCGTCGAGGTTTTCTTCTGTATCCTCCATGGTATGCCATACTGCAGGAAAAGGGGATGGAATCAGGTGTAGAACTGGAACCCCTAAAAGGAGGAAAGAGAAATTTGTAGAAGAAATATTAGAGGTGTTCTGTTAAGGCAACTGATACGTTGCCATTTAGTAATACAGTGAGGTCACTACTCAATAAGCTTACTTTTTAGAGGAGTGTGGGTCACTTCAGCTTCCTTTTACCTTCTCTTTTTTTGAAGCCCATGACTGCAGCCCATCCATTTCATTGTGTGCTACCTAAAATTGGCACCTTCGTTTCCTTTGAGTACTTTAACCTTGTTTTGGTTTTGGTTTTGGTTTTTTAAGGCATCTGTAGCTAGGAGTTTTAACTGTGATACTTGCTTTTTCTTTTAGAGACCTTTTGCATTGTAGTTTTTGATACTGTGTTTAGGAGCTACAGAAGGGCAGAGAAACCACTGCAGCTCCCCAGACTGAAAACTGATTACCATGTTCTTGTGACAGTGTTAAGATTGAGCACTTTTTGAAGCATTTTTTTAGTCCTCTCCATAAATGGTAAAATAGGGTGTCTGTATTTTTACTCTGTTAAATAGAATCACTGTTATCCTCAGGTAAAAGAACTTCCACTTGAAAGGATCTGTGTAACTGTATGTTTGTGTGTGTGTGTATATGTATGTCAAGCCATGTTTACATACTGCAACTTTTAGGTAAAAGAGGAGTTAAGTCAGTCTTCTGCTTCCTGATTGCTTTTTGGGGGAAGCATTGTTTCTTTCCAGCCTCTTTCCGGTTTTCCTGCTTTTCCTTTCTCATTTTTCAGCTGCATACCACTAAGGGATCTGTTTTTTTCACTCAGTGTTAATCACGTTATTAGAAAAGGTTTTGAGGTGCAGACATTGTTTTCCCCATCAGCTTCTCCCACTTAGGATCTCTGATATCACCAGACATGCATATGATGGCTGTGTTGGTTTTGTTGGACCTGGGCCCTGCCTTGGTGTGAAAAAGATTCATGGAGTTGAAGAGCCATTGAGCAGGAGACAGTAGCCATAGCTCAGTGAAGAGAGCACTCACTTAGAAGTGGAGGTGTAGCTGCTCTTGTGCCTGATTCCAGAGCTGTGCCTGCATTTTACATTACTCAGTAGTTAACAGAGCATAAGCAATGGTAAAATTAGGAGCTGGATATGAAGATACCTCCCTCCTCACTGAACTTGTGTTACATTCCTTTTTGGTTAACCCTTCTCTAGCAATACGACTCTTGTAGGCCTTGCTGTACAGTGGACAAATTCAATCAGGAGAATTTACTGTATCTCCTACCTTTCTTTGGCCCACCTTAGTTCTGAAGATGGTCTGCTGTGTGCTTGAAGCAAGAAGGACATCAAATCCACATCTTGACCTTGGACAAGTGCTTTAATCACTGACCTGTAGCTTGACAAGGTGGCAGCAGTAGTACAACTGCTTTCCCTTTCTTTGGTTGTATCCCAAAGGAAAAGAATTAGCACAGTCGGAGGCCATGGCATAGGTGTCTGCCAGAAGAGATGCTTAGGTAGGGAATCCCAGTTTCAGGTTTGTGCCTAATTCCAGGAGGGATTTCAGGCACATTGTGTCCCTTGCTATTTCTGCTGGTTACTCTATGTATCTTTTGCAACCCTCAAGCTGTGATATCTCCGTTCTCTTCAGTGAATGAGGATGTCTAATTTGAGTATGTGAGTTTTTGCAGGAGTTGGTGCCTCCAAATCTAAACAGGCAATAGTGAGCATTACCCGAACTTGGACAACAGATCTTTAGCAATTTTTGTAGTCTTTGAAGATAAGACCTTTGAGTTTTTCACTGCTCCTAGAAATAGTAACTAGCTGGCTAGTGTGATATGTAGTGATACCCACTGGATCAGAGTTGCTTATCTTTGTAGGAGACTACTGCTGACAGAAATTTCCATTATCTCTGTGCCATTTGAGTTGTTTTTGTGCAAAATGACAATGGGTATCTTTTATTGTTGCTCTTGTTCGGGTGTGTTTTTCTAAGCTGTGACTCTTGGCCTGCATAAAGTTGGATTTGGAAGCCTCAAGGTGGGGCCAGTAAGCTTGAAAAATGCGATCATATGCACTTGCTTACTCACTAAATGATGCATTTGATACTGAACTTATACTTGAAAATATAAGAGCTTCCGGTACCTCTTAATAAAAACGGAATGTGGTCATCTTCAACCAAGCCTCGATGTAAAGTAGTCTGGAAATACTGCCTTTCAACAAGATGGTTCTTCAACAGATTCATGTTGTGTAGCTCTTGCTCTGTAATTCACAATGAAGGTGATTATTACAACTTTTGGACAATATGAGGCATGTTAGCATGTTAGCACATTTGAATTATTTTTTTACTCACATGGAAGCTTTTTCCATCTAAGAAGAAAAGGGAGTTGGTGACTGTCTTTTGCATTTGTTTACTACTTAGAACACCTCAAGATTGGTGTTGTTACTGTCATTTTACAGAAGTGAGAACTAAAACACAGAAGTGACGTGGTTCCCAAGAGCTGCAGAGTGACAATCAGTAACAGAATCTGTTTCATGGTTTTCCAAGTGTCTGAGAATCTTCCTCAGTTATTTTATTAATTATATATTGAAATCTTAGTATAGGTTTAAGATGCATCAAATTTAACATTTACATTATTAAATATTATAACTGTAAACCAGAAAAGCAATCTAAAAATCTGATTTACAGGACTTAATTCATTCAGAAACTACACACTAAATTTTCAAATTCATCAAAAGCCCAGGCCCCTCTCCTTACCAATTGCTTGAAGCCTCTGAAACCATCGAATAGTGTTTGGAAAATAATTGGGAAAGACTGGGTTTGGTGCACCAATTAAATCCAGTAGTATGAGCAGGTCCTACAGAAGAAAGAATTTTTAATATAGAATTCGTAACATTACTTCAGCACTATCAACAGCAGCAATGAAACCTCTTGGTTCCTTGGTATAGGTCATGCCTAGGTCTTTGATAGCTCTGGCCAAAGATTTGGCTTTTCTACCATGATGCCTGAGGAAAACTTATGAGCAGAACCCAATTCCAGTATGTTGCATTTTGCTGTCTTTCGGAGGAGGAAAAAGGCAGGCTGTTTCTCTGTTCCTCCAGCTGAAGGAGACTGCATCTCTTTGTTTGCAGTTTGTGTGTTATATCCCTTTAAAAGAAAAACTATAGTAGGTGGGGAGAAAGAAGAGGAAATTGCTTCTTCCCTGGAGAACAACAAAGTCTGTCAAGGGAAAGACATTTTATGAGTCACAAGATACAGTGACAGAAGAAAAGTGTCTCAGCAGTGAGTAGGGAAACTAGGAGGCAGCAGGGAGAAGGGAGCAGACAACTAGAATGTCAGTAGGAATCACAGGGAAGCCGAGAGCTTGCTGTAGCTTAGCGCTGAGCTAGGGGAGATGTGTTTATAGACAGATATGGTGTGTGCTCTTTCTTGATTGCTTTGAATTCTCTCTCTTGAAGAAGGTGAGTATCCTAGTTTATATTCTAATAAATTAGTGTATTTTGATTTTTCTGTGACTCCTCATAATACTTGCATGAAAAAGGTCTAAGCAGGTTCATCTGAAAAGCTCTTGCCAACTCTCTGTGTTATCACATCTCATAAATTTTCCACAAGCCTGTTTCTTTAACTTTGGTTGTGTTCATGGTTTCTTGGAAGTTTGCCCAATGACTTACTAATTAAATATGTAAAAAAATGCAATTTACTATTTCTCATTAGGGAGGTGAAAGCCACTTACTATGCCCTGCAGCTGATTTGTCATTGTTGAACCAGGTGGATGTGGAGTAGATACCATTTTTTGAGCTAAGTGTTGAGATCCATACAGGGAATCGGAAGGGGACCACTGGACAAAGGCTTCTTCACCATCAAAAAAAATGAGCTGAAGTGAAAGGTCTGGTCTTGACGTTGAGCTGGTCTGTTGGAAGAAGTTAAAAGTAACATAACTGATTCTGCCAGAATATTCAATAAAGGACAAATGCTGTAGTCATATAAGCAACATCAGCAGGTACCCTGTGCAAACCTCCCATGGCTGTTAAATACGCGTTATGGTGTAACAGTGGTAGTGATCAGTCATTATTCTTTATCTAGCACAGTGACACGTTCTCCAGTCTGGTATCGTTTTGGTTCTGGTTAAAGGTTTATTTTCTGACTTCAGTGGGCATAGGCTGAGTATGTTGAGACAGGTCTGCAAAACCAGGTAGCAGAAACATCATCTCAAATAATGAGAAGACGTGTCAGCAACAACACCTGATGTGAGTGCTAATCTTATTACTTGATAGTGCCACAAAGGAGTAATATCTCTGCTACAGTTGTGCATTAGTGGAGGTGAATTATTTATTTTAAAGTTAATGAATTATGTATTTTAAAGCAGTCAGTCATGAGAAGAATGACCTTTTTTTTTCCTTCAGAGGGACTCGCAACCACCCAGGCAACTTTACCCTAAACCAAAGCACAGAGAGTGGAGTAGATACGCCCTTCCCTTTCAACAACCAAAAATATCACAGCACTAAAAACCGAGAATATGTATGATTAATGTATTTAATCATAAAAGACATCTGTGTGAAATTTCATCCCAATGTAGAAGGGGCCTTTCTTCTGTCTGTGTTTGCTAACTGAAGCCCTGTTTGCGCTGGTGGCGTTTCCTAATAATCCATGGCTAAACTCAGTTCAGTTCTGCTCTATGAACAGTTCTGGGAACTGCAGTCTTGGCAGTTGCCATAAATATTTTAACCCCTCTATGAACTAATGTTACTTCAAGTGAAATTTCATGATGTGGTTAAAAAGGTGGGGTCACCAGCAACAGTCATGTCCTGTATGGGCTACAACTCCCAGCTAGCTGGAGCTGATCCAATATAAACAGTAGTGGAAAGCTTCTATAAAATGTCACTCACGTAGGCAAAGTGATATTGATTATGCTCACAGTGATATATGGATTTCTCTAATGGCAATGCTTTGTCCTTTGTCCTTTGCACAGGACAGAGCTCTTTTGATAGCAGTCATTTTGCTTTACATTCTGGAGGAAACTATTAATGCCATTTGAATTTTAGAAAGTAGTATTTGTAATTATTATTATTATTATTACTGTTTAACACATTACCAGGTCTGAATAGTGTACAGACATGTCTTTGCCCTTTAATTTTAAACTTACTCTTTTTAACTGGAGAAACATCAAGATAAAAATCACAGCTTCAAGTCAAAGTATAAATAGATTTGGCTGAAAACATAACAAAGTCTGTTATGCTACTGCAAGCAGAGCAAAAAGGTCATAGCTAATGTATTGAGCAGATGGATCCCAAAGTGTATTTTGTCAACGGACTGTACCAGTGGTAGCCTGTGCAAAGTACTGAGATGGCCTTTTGTAGAATGCTGTCATCTTACACAATAAAACAATTTAATCAAAAAATGATGTATTACTTGCAAAAAATTCCAATTTTTAAGTCAGTGTGTAGGCTATTCCATAAATAACCATCAGGCAAATTTATTCTAAATGAAGCTTCTAAATGAAGGCATATGTATTACAGGAGTGTTTTGTTTTGTGGTTAAAAACATCAGCATATTCTTAATCTTACAATTCTTAAATCTTCTGATGTCAGAAGGCACCAAATCAGTTTCTAGAAACAACTGCCAACAAATAATCTTAATACCTGCGCTGTGTGTATTCCTGACACTTTGTAAAGCATTTGAGGACCTTTTCCTGTGAAAGCTGTTAGTGTATGAGAAGTATTTTTCTGTAAATACTGTATCCTGAACCAGTAGATGGCACCCATGAATCTGTAATCCTACGAGCTTTTAGAGTTTGTAGAATTAACAGATTTTTGTGCCTAGCAATGGCAGCACTGTGAAGCAGATTTTCATAGCATAGGCAACACAGACTGATAGCATTATACTATTACATGACTGTTTTCCTGTACTCAGCCATCACTTGTTTCATAAATAAACTACTCAAATTGATAAAGGAAAACAAGAAGAAAAGCTTGAAATTGTTATGGGATAGAGGGACATGAATGTGACTCCCCTGTGCAGCTGTTAGTTCATCTGTCTCCCAAAACAGAATACAACTGAGAGATTTCAGAAAGCAACAAAACTTTGTCAATGGCCCTGGATGTTACTGGATATAGTAGGAGCTTCTGAGTAGGGTTCTGTGCCTTTTAGATAGAAAGTAGGATTATATCTCACTGAGTCTATGAAACATGTATTATTCATGTATAAATTGTTATTTTTACATAGTATATATTTATTAGATAATATTTAGATAAACATCCTTTGCATAAGAAGTTTTAATATGATAATGTAGTTTAAAGCAGTAGATAACAGATCTCTGTTCTGTTCTTCTTGAAGTCAATGGGAGTTTTATTACAGACACAGCAATCAGCAGATCAGGCACGCAGGCTGTGGGAGAGAACATGGAAGCGCCCTAAGGCCTGTTGCTATTGCAAAAACAAATTAAAATGAAACAAGCAAACTACCTTGATTAATTGAAGCTTGTTATCCAGGGCGCGTGCCAGCTCCAGTATCATAGCACAAGGCACAGCTGAATCAGTTGCTCCTACAAACACTCTCTCCTGCCACTGTTGTCCAAAGAATTTTGAGTCGTAGTGGCAAGCAAGTACTAGATGGCGTTTTGCAGAGGGGTTGAGAGTACTGATAATATTTGAAAATGTTTGATATCCATATGGTGTGTATCTCTGAAATGTATCTTCTTCGATTTCCCAACCAGCCTGTAATCTTTGAAGACGGTGCTTGATGTGCTGCAATTAAAAAAAAAAAATAATTAATATTGCTTGCCTTCAGAAAGATGTTGCAGACAGACTGTCATTAGCTAATTAATAGTGGCACTTATTTCTGTAAGTTCATGGTATTTTTCAAAGATGAATTTTATAGCAAAAAATGTAATGTCACTATATAAAGTAAGCAACATCTTTCCTATCTTAGCTTCTGACTGGCTTGCTTGCTTTTCATTTCTCCCTTTTGTCTCTTGTCTTTGGAGTCTGAGGGTGCTTTGAATGATTGCTCATTAATATGACACATTAAGATCTTAATCTCTGAAGTTTCCAGGCCAGTGTTTTTTTCCAGGTATAACCAGGATAGATGTAATGTTTACCTCTTTGAATCTAAACTCAGTTGTGTCATTAAATTAAATGTCAAAACTGGCTACAGAGAACTTGTTGTGGCTGTTTTGACTATTACCACGCACAGATGCCACAGCAATATTATAAAAAAATGCTGCTTGGTTTTTTTTTTTAACTTCTATGAGAATTCTGCCTTTCAAGCTGCATAAGTTGTTTACAGGGCTGTAAGAGACAGTCTCCAATTCATTTAAATTAAAGAAAGAATTAAACACTTGAAAATAATCTTTTAAAAACTAAATCGGGTAAGTGTAGCTCATGTAAAGATAAAAATGAACACAGTAAATTATAAAAGAGATTATTCATTTTAGGTAACTTCCTGGCTAAAGAGAACACCTCTTAACAACCACAGTTATACTTAGTACAGAGTTCTGGCTAACTTACTAGAGGGCCATCTCTGTTGAGCAACTCATTTTTATGAGTCCCTAGAGTGCTTCTTCAAGGCAGATTCCTCTCTCTTTAAATAAACATTAGGAAAAGCCTCTAAGGGGAAAAAAGAAAATAGACTTTGAAGACTTGTCCTGCTCTTAGTGAAGTCAGTGGGAATATTGCCATTAATTTTAGTGCTAGAACAAACTTCCATTTTGTTTGTGGTCACCCTCTGAAAGCTTTTATGGCGTATGGTCTCTTTGCTATCTGTAGGCTGAGCAAAGGGTGTCTGTTATGGATTAAGAGGAATATATAAGCCTGGATGGAGTTCTTCGGTGTTCAGTAGCTGTGACTGGCACTAGCCTTCTCCCTTAAAGTAGTCTGATGCATTTTCTGTGTCTTAACAAATAAATATCATCCATTTCAAACTCCGTGTGCTCTGACAATGGGGGACTCATCTCTTTTTCCTTTGGTGGAGCTCTACTTTAGTACGTGCTGTTACCTTGTAACAGGATGATCCTGTTTTGAGTATGATTTGTGCTTTTCTAGCCTAGGCTTAGCTATTTTTTAGTTTTTCTCACTTTTTCCCCTTCCATTTGGCTGCCCTCCAGGGTATCACTAGAGAAACCACAAAACTAAATCAAGAGACACATGTGTGCACGCACATACAAAGCATAAAAAACCAGCATTTTTCCAGTCGACCAGTTGCAGAGTGGCAAATAAACTTACTGTAGGTAGGGGTATCTTGGGGCTGCTGAGTCACTGCCTAAAGGGTAGATGAAGGCTAGTGCTGCCCTTAAACCAGTGCTGTGCTTTGTCATGTCGACCATCCAGCCTGCCTGCCAGTTTGGGCCCCTCTGATCCCTGTTCGTGTTGATAACACCCATCTGAGGCAACACTACAGGGGAGTGTAACAGCACAGGACCTCTCCAAAAAAGGGGGGGAGGGGGGAGGAGTATTATTTCTTTCATCCCCGTGTAGGGTCCCAGGGGGTTTCAACCACTGGCCAAAAAGCCTGTGCATGTGAGGAAAAGGACAAATGTTATGTTGCACTTTGGGTACCAAACCTGAGATGAGCTTTTTAATTTTTAAAAAAATTAAATAAATAATAGGGTTTTTTTTTCTATCATGCTATACAGTCCTGGAAAATAATGTCAGCTAAAGTGCAAGCTGTGTCATGTAGGCTTTATGCAGTCTAGACCTGAACAATGAAAGAGTTCGTCCTACCAAATGAAAGGAATGTGTCTGTCCCTTTAGTGGTCACTAAAGGCACTACCAAAATATAAAAGATGTTCTTAGAGGTTTTCAAGAAATGTTGTCTTACCTGTCGTACAACGTAATTTCCTGGAGATCCTGGGTATCTTTCTATCAGGATAGGGCGCAAATCATTCTCCCACATTTCGGAAACATCTGTGTTAGCTGCTATTTTTTGAATAGCGTCAGAATGTAAAATTCTTGGTTGGTGAGAATACTGTAGAAAGGAGAAAAAGGGAAAGATTGCTATAGCTATTGCTAGACTTTTTTAACCATAGTTTTCTTCTAAATTGCAGTAAATGTGATATATTGTGCTATTTCAATTTAGTGACAACAAAATTTAATCTTAAGAAAAGCTTTTCTCTCAGAAAATATTGATACGTTAAAGTTCTGTGGGTTCTGTAGCTTTGATTTCCATGCAAAATGTACTAGTATTAAAAATAAGTGAGAAATTTTTATCTACCAGCTAGCCATAAAAACTCAACCCATGACTGGGCTCTCTCTTTTCTAATATTTTGATTCTACATATATAGTCATGTCTGCAACCATGTCACCTTCAAATGAGGTTTCCACTGGGACAAACACCAGAAGCTTTGTTCTAGTAGTAATATTTAGCTTTACTCTGTGCCTACATTGAGATGCAGGACTGCAAAGAAATGCATAAACTAGGTTAGCCCCAGGAAGAGTGAAGCTGTGTCATTGTGGCCTCTGCCCATGGTGGTGGTATTGGTGTGACTACACAGTATGGTGCAGCTCATCTGGAGCTAGCTAGGGTACACATCAGCTTTGTGACATGTGGATTCACCGCAGAAGTGGCAGCTGGTCTCCTGTGACAACAGCCAGGAATGATAGCTGCCTCCCACGTGGCTTCTCTTCTGTTGTCTAAGTACGGACCTGTAGAGCTATTTGAGAAGACCTAGAATGGTTGAGACATCCTCGTGGGGCTGGCAAATATGTCAAAGGCATAGAAGAGCCTTGTGCTGTTCTGGAGTGGTTCCTGAATGGCAGGTGGGATCCCCAAGGACATCTCAAAAGCCCCTTTGGGCACCTGATTTGAACCTACCCAGTCTCTAGCAATTGTCTTCTCAGGAACTTCCTGAGCCACTCCTGTTTTTATAGACTGCTAATGTAGGCTCTATCATAGCATGCTCCTATAATATCCATTCCTTATTTCTATCATAGAGGCTTCCCTCTACTCTTCTCTTTCTCCCACTGAAAATCCTGGTCTGTTTATTTGTTCTTTGATGAGAACTGCCTTACGTGATTGACCAGACTTGCTGTCCTTCAGTGCACCCTGTCTACCTCATCCTTTTTTGAGATGAGGGAAGAGAGGAAAACTGGACTATAAGTGGGCCATAGCTTATAGTGTAGGATAATTGTATTTTCTATTTTATTCTTTTCCTTTCTTAAAACTGTTTAACAACTGACTTGCTTTTGAGCTGCTGCTGTGTCAAACTGACATTTTCACAGATTTATTTACTCTAACTCCATCACTGTAGACGTTAACAAAAATTAAAAATATAATTCCCCTTCCTTTCCCACTCACTCGTGTGTCACGTCACATTTGTCTGAAATGACTGCTGAAACTCATTACCTGTCCAGAAAGTGTACTGACCTTCAGATCTTCTTCAGTCCTATATAATGACATGTTGTCTTAATTACCATGACTGACAAATATTGTTAAAAAATTGTTTTTGCCTCACTATTTGCCTTCTTTTCTACTTCATTTATGTGTGTGCTGAGTAAAGCAGGCAGAAACACAAATATTTTTTAGGCTTGACTGTAAGCATTTAATTCTACCCTTTTCTCTTTTCCTAGCTGTTTATCTATGTGCAGACCTTTCATCTAATTCCACTTCAGTTTACTTAGAGACACAAACATATTGAATCCTACAATGGCACTTTTAAGAAAGTGTTTAAGTTTAAAGCTGAATTTCAAGACTATGAGGACACCAAATTTTAGGCTGTGCAGTTAACATTTTTAAAGCTAGCAAGTTTAGACCTGGGTTAAAGAAAAATTGAATTTTATCTAATATAAAGAAGAACTTTTACAAGTTTGGAAATTGTATTCTAGAAGATGCATAAAATGTCTTTTGAAAGACTAAATGTTTAATACAGTGGAATTTACACCAATGTAGAAAGAGACAAGAGAAAATGTTGTCAGGGAGCTCTTCTGTTTGGGAGGAACAGGCTGTAAAAGGAAAGTTCAAAGCTATGCGCTTCAGAAGTGTAGGAGGACAAATAAGGAAGTTGAGAAAATACGCCTTCAGTTGAACAAATGATGGACTCAATTAAATGTGGAATTGTCTTGCTTCTAATGTAGAGCATTGCCTAGTAATTGTGGTCATTGAATCACTTTGCAAAAAAACATTATTATTATTGAAGTACAAATGTATTAAAACACTTCAGAAGAGAGGAATAAATTCCTCTTTCTAATAATGGCAATATCTTCAAATTTGGGAAGTGAAAGGAATTACAAAAATGGCCGTGAAATAAAAGAGAAGCGGAATGAGATCTGTAGGTGGCTTGTTCCTTACAGTGTTGGTCGACCCTACGTCTTTCCTCCATGGCCACAGCAGGGAGGCAGAACAATGTATTTATGACAGGGCCACCAATAAACCTTTTGTACTAAGCTGCATAAAACTGCAAGACGTCAACTTCTACAAGTAGCTTGCGCTTACCTTGCTGATTTTGGGGTATTTCAGCTCGGTGCCAATAGAAGTTAAATTCTAAGAACTCTTAAGTTTAGGACCTGATTCCTCCTCCTCAGTGAGAGGAGGAGAAGGTCTGTACGCTGTAAGAATTTCAACTTCTGGCTCACATCCCTTTAGGGAGAAGGAACAAAAGTTGTCAAGGGACAAGAATTTTATGAGAAAGAGGAAGTGGTTCTTGGTTAGTGTCTGTAGAGGCAGAGGAGTTCAGATACTATGGTTCTGTGGTTAGATGATACTACTTACATCACTGGCAAGCAGATTGACTAGCTGGAATGGAATGAGTAAAGAGTGTATTGGTGTGGCCCAAGAGGGCTGAAAAAAGGAGCTCGAGGGCTACACACTTGTATATTGATGAGTATGACTAAAGATTTAGCCTCACATATTCTTATATGTGTATTAGATATGTATATATGCATGCATTATGCATACTATAGATGTATTATGTTACAGATATGTAGTTTATACATGAGCTGTATATAGTAAGATAAAAGAACAGAATGATAAAGTGTTTCTGTTTTTATAAAAACCAAACAACCCAACACTTCTTTGAATGGGGAGTGAATAAAATCAAGGAGAAAGGGAGTGACTAATGGGGAATGGAAAGGTGAGGGAAGCTTCATTTTGCCAGTTTGTCCTGGACTCTGATCTACTGGTGAAGAGAGCAGTGCACTGGATTAGTGGAGTTCAGTCAGTTCTGGATGGACTTTGAGTTCAGCTCTTCTACAAACACCTGAGGATGGGCCCTAGAAGTATACTTTCTGTTCGGAAATTCCTGAACCCTTTAATGTAATTTGCAGTTATATGCTCCCCTGTGTTCCATATTGTGTAGTTCTTCATGAAGAAACTATGTTAGCATTTCATAATCATAGAATAGAATCATAGAATGGTTTG